GATGGCCGAAGTTGGCTCGAAGCTGGCCCGAGACGGCCCAAAAAGCCCCAAAGATCGCCCAAAGCTTGCCCAAGAGGCCTCCAAGACGGCCAAGATGACCTTCAAGATGCCCACGTGTTCCCCGAAGGCTTTCCAAACCGATTCGGGGAACACGTGGTCCGATAGCTTGGCAGGTCTGGCCTCAACGTTCGGCCACATAGGCGCTTCCAAAAAGGCAGGGGGCGGCGGTGATTCGCCGTAGGCGTCTTCGATCCGCCGCCCCCTGTCGATTCATCGCAGGGGTGCCTGGCGTGCTGAATTTTTACGGTTTGGTTTTGGTTCTTTTTCCAAAAGAACTCTCCCAATGGGTTTCGGCCCGTCCCGCCGGGGTCCCGGGAGGCCTGCCCACGTGCACAAACTCCGGAATACATCCTCCCTGAAACGGCCGTTTCGCTCGGGACATCCTCAAAAAACAACGAAGATGGCCCAAGATGGCCTCCAAGTCCGCCCAAGATGGTCCAAGCCGGCCTTCAAGACGGCCCAAGAGAGTCCAAGACGGCCCAAGACGGCCCAAGGGGCCCCCCAGAGGCCTCCCAGACGGCCCAAGAGGCCTCCAAGAGGTCCTCCAGGAGGGCCCGAAGAGGCCAAAACCATTGCTTTTTTCTTAGGTTTTTGAAGGATATGGAATTTGCTTCTTCTCGGCATTCCGACGGCTCAAGACGGCCCAAGAGGCCCCAAGATCGCCCAAGCGGCCCCCAAGAGGGCCCCATGACGGCCCAAGTGGCCTCCAAGATGGCCCCAAGAGGGCCCCAAGACTGCCCAAGAGGCCTCCACCACGCCCAAGATGGCCTCCACGACGCCCAAGATGGCCTCCAAGACGGCCCCGAAGCGCCCCAAGAGGGTCCCCCGTTGGCCTAGAAAAGGCCCCCAAGACGGCTCCCGACGGCGTCAGACGTGCCAGGAACCCACCAAGATGGCCGAAGTTGGCTCGAAGCTGGCCCATGACGGCCCAAGAGGCCCCCAAGAGGGCCTCCAGGAAGGCCAGAAGAGACCAAAAACATTGATTTTGAAGGATTTTGACTTTTTTTTCTTGTCGGCCTTCCAACGGCCCGAGACGGCCCAAGAGCCCCCAAAGATGGCCGAAAGATCGCCCAAGAGGCCTCCAAGACGGCCAAGGTGACCTTCAAGATGCCCACGTGCTCCCCGAAGGCTTTCCAAACCGATTCGGGGAACACGTGGTCCGATGGCTTGGCAGGTCTGGCCTCAACGTTCGGCCACATAGGAGCTTCCAAAAAGGCAGAGGGCGGCGGTGGTTCGCCGTAGGCGTCTTCGATCCGCCGCCCCCTGTCGATTCATCGCAGGCCAGGCATGCCTGGCGTGCTGGACCTCTCGGTTTTGGTTTTGGTTCTTTTTCCCAAAGAACTCTCCCAATGGGCTTCGGCCCGTCCCGCCGGGGTCCCCGAAGGATTGCCCAGGAGCGAAAACTCCACGACACATCCTCCCTGAAACGGCCGTTTCGCTCGGGACATCCTCAACAAATCGCGAAGATGGCCCAAGATGGCCTCCAAGTCTGCCCAAGATGATCCAAGGCGGCCTCCAAGACGGCCCAAGAGTCCAAGACGGCCCAAGACGGCCCAAGAGGCCTCCAAGAGGTCCTCCAGGAGGGCCCGAAGAGGCCAAAATCATTAATTTTCCGTAGGTTTTGAAGGATTTTGGAATTTGCTTCGTCTCGGCATTCCGACGGCTCAAGACGGCCCAAGAGGCCCCCAAGATCGCCCAAGAGGTCCCCAAGAGGGCCCCATGACGGCCCAAGTGGCCTCCAAGATGGCCCAAAGAGGGCCCCAAGACTGCCCAAGAGGCCTCCGACACGCCCAAGATGGCCTCCACGACGCCCAAGATGGTCTCCAAGACGGCCCCGAAGCGCCCCAAGAGGGTCCCCCGTTGGCCCAGAAAAGGCCCCCAAGACGGCTCCCGACGGCGTCAGACGTGCCAGGAACCCACCAAGATGGCCGTTGGCTCGAAGCTGGCCCATGACGGCCCAAGAGGCCCCCAAGAGGGCCTCCAGGAAGGCCAGAAGAGGCCAAAACTATTGATTTGCCTAAGGTGTTCGAAGGATTTTGACATTTCCTTCTTTTCGGCCTTCCGACGGCCCGAGACGGCCCAAGAGCCCCCAAAGATGGCCGAAAGATCGCCCAAGAGGCCTCCAAGACGGCCAAGGTGACCTTCAAAATGCCCACGTGTTCCCCGAAGGCTTTCCAAACCGATTCGGGGAACCCATGGTTCAATGGCTTGGCAGGTCTGGCCTCAACGTTCGGCCACATAGGCGCTTCCAAAAAGGCAGGGGGCGGCGGTGATTCGCCGTAGGCGTCTTCGGTATATGTATACAGATACATATATATATATACATATATATATATACACACATGAACTGCCGCGGGCATCTATCTCGATCGAGAAGAAGAAAAGGAGAAGGACGATGAGGAGGAAGAGGATGAGGAAGAGGAAAACAAAGAAGATTTCGTCGTCGCCGCCGATGTCTCACAGATTTGCGTGGTCTCTCGACCGCCCGATGCATCTCCTCGAATTCAGCCTTCAGGAACCGTTTTCGGTGCCGGGGACCACCGCCGAAAGTCCGAGATGAGGATCGACCTCCTTGGCCAGTGCCACCCCTTCGCAAAGGAAGGAACAGGGGGTGGATCGAGGCTCGAGGCATGAGACTCCTAGTTCTTGGGCGCTCTCCGCCCCCCCTGAGCCTTCAGGAAGCTCCTCGTCGACACAGCTGGGTCCACTCTCGAACTTCTGGCTGGACGCAACCCCAGCTGGGTCTCAACGATCCCCGAGCCTATCCAGGAGGTGGAAAAGGAGGCCTGGCACAGGCCCAGTGAAGGTCCCAAGAAACTCACATAAGACCACGAAACACTTCAAAACAAACCCCACACGCTACGCAAGACAGGCCGAACCCCCAAGATTGCCCAGCGATCGCGCGCGTTCCGCGAATTCAGTCGTTCACTCTTGCTGCCGCCCAAAGGGGTCGGCGGTGCGGCGTAAGCCAATGAATCGTTAGTGAAAGCGATGGTGAGATTGCTCGAGAGACGTATTGTGAGGCTGATAGTGAGATCGATCGGCGAATAGTGGACGGATGGACCACAATGGTGTCCCGATGGTGTCCCGATGATGCCACGATGGTGCCCCGATGGTGGCATGTATTCGCGCCCAGGGTGTCCCGATGGTGTCACATCGTGACACCGACAGTGTGGTCGAAACCGATGGATCGATAGTGAGACCGACAGTGAAATTGACAAACAGATACTGTGATCGAGGATGAGATCGAAACCAGAACCGATATTCAAATCGATAGTGAGACCGACAGTGAGATTCATAAACACATCATGAGGGGGATCGTGAAATCGACAGTGAGATCGATAGTGAAGTCGATAGCTCGAAGTATAGTGAGGGCGCTGGTAAGATCGATCGACAAATAGTGGTCGGATGGACAACAAAGGTGTCCCGACGGTGCTCCGATGGTGTCCCGATGGCGCCCCGATGGTGTTCCGATAGTGTGCCGATGGTGTCCCGATGGTTGGGGGTGCTCCGATGGTGTCCCGATGGTGTCTCGCTGTTGTCACAATGGTGTTCCGATGGTGCTCCGATGGTGGCATTTATTTGTCCCCAAAGTGTCCCGATGGTATCACATCGTAACACCGGTAGTGCGGTCGATGGGGCTTAGACATCGGAAGTGAGCCCGATAGAAAACAGTGGACGGATCGACCAAAATGGTGTCCCGACGGTGTTCCGATGGTGTCCCGATGGTACCCCGATGGTTTTCTGATGGTGCCGATGGTTGGGTGTGTTCCGATGGTGTGCCGATGGTGTCTCAATGGTGTCGCGATGGTGTGCCGATGATGTTCCGATGGTGCCCAGATAATGCATTTCTTGTCCGCAGGGTGCCCCGATGGTACTCCGACAGTGTCCTGATGATTGGGGGTGTCCCGATTGTCCAGACGGTGTCTCGATTGTGTTCCCACGGTGTCCCGATGGTGTCCCGATGGTGGCATGCATTTGTCCCCAAAATGTCCCGATGGTGTCCCATCGTGGCACCGATAGCGCGGTCGACCGTGAGACCGATCGATCGATAGTGAGACCGATAGTGAGATCGACAAAAAGATAGTGAGATCGAGAGTGAGATCGACGGCGAACCGATACGCCGATAGTGAGATCGATGGTGAGGCCGATAGTGAGATCAATACACAGACAGTTAGATCGATCGTGACATCGATCGTGAGATCGATAGCGAGACGTATAGTAAGGCCGATAGTGAGGTCGATAGGCAAACGGTGGACGGATGGACCACAATGGTGTCCCGACGTTGTCCCGATGATGCCCCTGGGGGTGTTCCGATGGTAGCATTGATTTTGTCCACATGGTGTCCCGATGGTGTCATATCGTCGCCAGCAGCCTTGCCATCATGCACCCTCACCAACATCGCCATCATGCATCGTCACCTGCTCGTGAGGGCATTACTAGTATCGTCAGCATCATAACCACCGAAGTTGTCATCAGCTGGTTCCATCCCCCACCACAACCTCCTTATCACCCACAGAATGGTGGTGGCCGTACAGGTATGGGTGCGGGCCAGGATTGGAAGCATCCGGGGGGTCTGAACTATCTGGGACCCAGGTCAGGATGGGGGATGAAGCCAAACGTTGTCAAAATCGGTCCCCGGACCCCTCCCAGGGTTCACCTGGTGCAATTTTTCACCTCGGAATCATTTTCTCCCTGCGCAGCATTAAAGCCCAACCAAACTAAGTCGGCATCTGCTAAACTAATAGCTGCCAGCCCAGCTCCAAGGGGCCTGCCAAATGGGATACCGAGCAAAGGCAACAATTCAGCCATGCACAGTACGCCAGGAACGTGATACGTAACAGCGGAGCACACCTGAGCTGGAGACAGCACCTCCTACGGATGCACACCTCCAGGAAGTATCTGAATGCCGACCTCCAGAAGGCACGGTCCCATGACGATCACGAGAAGCTTCCTTCTGCAACTGACCACACGGAGGACACCTCGCCGGTAAGGCTCCCCGCCAAAAGTGACATTTGCCTGGTACACGCACTCGAAGGAGTGCTCGCGTCTCCGTGATCGTCTTCCCCCAGTAAGCCGCCGACCGAATAACCAGTATTGCCGAGATTTCTTGCGAAGACGTTCAGGTAATCTATACCCTCACGAGTCTTACCGTTCACCACCTTCAAGTCGACCTTGTCAAAACGCCTCCACATCATGCTGCTGGGGTGATTATCGCTGGTATTTGCGAAGAACTCGAGGACATCAGTCTGGTTGGTCCAAGCCCCTGATATTTTCACAATCTGGAAGTACACGTCAGAGCACGTACCACCCATGCGCCTTGCGTCAGCCTCCAGGAGTAGCAACGTCTGCTGCGGGCCAGCCCATCGCGGTATCTGCAAGAGGACATTCAGACCAGTGCGGTAGAGGTCAAAACGCTCGCCGAACATGTTGACGAGGTGGGGATCACCCGTGCCAGATACCCCACCTAAGCTTGGTAGCGGCGCTGTCGCAGTGGATGGCGGCGAGGACGTCGGCGAGGGTGACGGCGAGGCCGTTGGCGAGGTTGTCGGCAAGGGCGTGGGCAAGGGTGTCGGCGAAGACGTGGCCAAGAGTGTCGGCGAGGACGTCGGCGAGGGTGACGGCGAGGCCGTTGGCGAGGTTGTCGGCAAGGGCGTGGGCAAGGGTGTCGGCGAAGACGCGGCCAAGAGTGTCGGCGAGGGCGTCGGAGCGGTTGTCGGCGCAGGTGCCAAGGCCACCAAGTTGACAGTCTCCCCAATCGTGACCAGTCCTCCCCAGTTGCTGGCCGGTGGAATTCCCGTGACCCAGCCTGTGCGGTTGGAGGCCGTCATGAGATCCCACCTCTGCGAGGCGGTCATGGATGCTGCCGACGGGTGCGCCTCGTACATCATGGCCGCGAGGCCAGCGACGTGGGGGGCCGCCATGGACGTGCCCGAGCCATGGGCCAGCGCATCGTTGCTGCCAATGTACGTCGAGAGGATGAAAGTGCCAGGTGCCCAGACGTCGATGCAGGCGCCGTAGTTGCTGAAGGGAGACATGGCCGATGACGAGCCCGAAGTCCCGCCATAGGCTCCCACCGTGATCGCCGAGGCGACGTTCGCTGGACTGTAGTCGCACGCATCCAAGTTCTGGTTTCCTCCGGCCGCAATCACGGTCACGCCGGCGGCCACCAACCCGTCGATCGAGAGCTGCTCCGCATCGCTGGTGCCAGAACTTCCGAGACTCATGCTGACCACTGCTGGCCTCAAACCAGACGAATAAATCCACTGCTGCGCTAGAACGGACCAAGAGGTGAAGCCGTCGCCGTTGTTGTCGAGGACCTTCATTGCCCAAATGGTCGCTCCATCCGCGACGCCATATAGCGAGGCCCCTACCGTGCCTGCGCAGTGGGTGCCATGCCCATTGAGGTCTGCAGCGCACGTTGTGCTGCTTGGAGCGCACACTTGGAAAGTCCCTGTGCTGCCCACATCAACTCCTGCGAAGGCCCGGCCACCGAACAATATGTGGGATGTCTGAATGCCGGTGTCCAGGACATACACATTCACGCCCACGCCACGCCCCCGATTCAGGTTCGCATTAATGGACTCGATGTTCCATGGGTAGGCCCGCCGCTCCATTGGACCGTCATTTTCGTCGAGGGACTCCCAGATCTTCCTCTCTTTTTGATCCTCTTCGACAAACTCGACGCGCCCAGAGTACTTCTCCAGCAGCGCTTGGAGTGCAGTGTCCGACAGCCGCCCCTCCACCATGGGCAGCTCGCCCATGCTCGGATTGGTCTTCAGCGCCGTCGGGTGGAGCTCATGGAGAAGAGCCTGCAGCTCCGCGTCGGTAGCATCCTTCAAATGGAGCCCAAGGACACACACATAATACAAACAAATCCCAGGGTTCCCTATATTTCCCTATATTTCCCAACCATCCTGTGGTGTTGGGTCCTCGTTTTGAAGAGACAGCGCCCCGCGTCACCTCCCACCCTCCTCCCCCTCCTCCCTCGTCCCCCTCTGGGCCTCTGCCCTCCACATGTTTCTGTTTCGGCACACCCCTCACACGTTTCGTGGCCCCATAGGGAGCTCCACCGAAAGCCGCGAAGGCTGTGCTCGCATGACACCACCGCACCCATGCCGTCGCCCCAAAGGCAGCTCCACCACAGGCGCCATTGACTGCGCTCGCATGACACCACAGCACCCATTTCAGCACGCCCCTCACACGTCTCGTCGCCCCTATGGGGAGCTCCAGTGAAGGCCCCAGCGGCTGCGCTCGCATGACACCACCGCGCCCATCCCGGCACACCCCTCACACGTCTCGTGGCCGCATGTGGAGCTCTTCCGAAGGCCCCAGTGGCTGCGCTCGCATGGCACCACCGCGCCCATTTCGGCACACCCCTCACACGTTTCTTGGCTCCAGGCAGAGCTCCACCGCAGGCCCCAGTGGCTGCGCTCGCATGATACCACAGCACCAATGTCAGCACGCCCATCACACGTTTCGTGGCCCCATGGGGAGCTCCACCGAAAGCCCCAGTGGCTGCGATGTCATTGCACCACCGCGCCCATTTCGGCACACCCCTCACACGTTTCGTGTCCCCATAGGGAGCTCCACCGAAGGCCCCAGTGGCTGCGCTCGCATGACACCACCGCACCCATTTCGGCACACCCCTCACACGTTTCGTGGCCCCATAAGGAGCTCCGCTGAAGGCCCCAGTGGCTGCGCTCGCATGACACCACCGCACCCATGTCAGCACGCCCTCACACGTCTCGTGGCCCCTTGTGGAGCTCCACCGAAGGCTCCAGTGGCCGCGCTCACATGACAGCACCGCACCCATTCCGGCACACCCCTCACACGTTTCTTGGCTCCAGGCGGAGCTCCACCGCAGGCCCCAGTGGCTGCGCTCGCATGATACCACAGCAACCAATGTCAGCACGCCCATCACACGTTTCGTGGTCCCGTGGGGAGCTCCACCGAAAGCCCCAGTGGCTGCGATGTCATGACGCCACCGCGCCCATTTCGGCACACCCCTCACACGTTTCGTGGCCCCATAAGGAGCTCCACTGAAAGCGCCAGTGGCTGCGCTCGCATGACACCACCGCGCTCATGTCGGCACGCCCCTCACACGTCTCGTGGCCCCATACGGAGCTCCACCGAAGGCCCCAGTGGCTGCGCTCGCATGGCACCACCGCGCCCATTTCGGCACACCCCTCACACGTCTCGTGGCCCCATGGGGAGCTCCACCGAAGGCCCCAATGGCTGCGCTAGCATGGCACTCCGCACCCATTTCGGCACACCCCTCACACGTTTCGTGGCCCAATGGGGAGCTCCACCGACGGGCTCAGTGGCTGCGCTCGCATGACACCACCGCGCCCATGTTGGCACACCCCTCACACGTTTCGTGGCCCCATGGGGAGCTCCACCGAAGACGATGACAACAATTGCATTACTCACAACTGCACATGGTTGGGTCCTTCACCCCGATAATTTTTGGGTTTTCGTCTTCTCCCCACTTCCCATGTTTTCCCGGGCGTCGACGATTCATTGTGTGTGTGTGTGTCTTTTCCCCTTGCGGATCCTTATTCAGCACGAGCATCCACGACTTTTCTTCACGGGCATCACGCTCACCATAGGCAATGCGTGGGTATACGGGCACGCCAGCATGCTTGTAGACCTCCCGCCCCGGTGTAGACACGCGACGATTCTCCGCGAGGCCGCTCATGACTGTCTGCACAAGCTCGAGGTCCCCGGCAAAGGACAGGCCACGTGCGCCACGTGCCCAGACGAGGCTGGCGAGAAGAAGACGGCGCGCCATCTTTGAAAGGGTCACCTACGTGGTAGAGAACTTCGCGTGGCCGCAGTAAGTGAAAAGGTATGTGCAGGTGTATAGGCCGAGATGGCTGTGCCTTGCCCCGGATGATAGCGCTGGACGGTCGCCGAGCCTGGAAGACGACGCCTGGAGGCCGAAAGGGGCAAAGAACCTCCCCGAAGCCAGCACCTCGAACATGCCCGCCCTTCCTGCAGGCCACCTCAGACCCCAGCCAGCCCCAAGACGCGCTCGCCGCTCGTGACCGGCTGTACGCGCAAGAGCGACCCTGGGCAAGAGTGACCTCTGGTGTGCGGCTTCTGGGGGGCCGCCGGGGGGGAGAGGTGGGTGGGTGGGGTGGGTGGGTGGGGGGGGGGGGGGGGGCAAAACGCGAGCGCGCAAGACGCTGCTGCCGCAGCGTGTTCGGCGATCGGAGGACCCCTTTTGGCCCGCACCAAACGTCACTCCCGCGAGAGGTTATGCTCACGTGTAGCCCATCTCGGGAGCGGCCAAGATGGGGGTGCCCAAGAGGGGGGGGCGCAAATCATGACCAGCGGCATGTGCGCGGCCCAGCGGGGGGGTCAGGGACGTAAAAAAATAAGAAGAGGCGCCATGACATCTGGGGAGATATCATGGCCCCCGCCATGATATCCCCCCCCTAGTCATCACCCCCCTCTTTTCCGCCCCCGACCATCGCGACCCATGGCCAGGATGGCCCACGGGCCGGGCACGGCTTGCGCTGCACAGCGCCCCTCCTGCGGCCCCCCCCCTCCTCTCCCTGCAGGAGGGCCCAGAATCCAATGGATAACGTTCGGATCGAACATCGAGATGAGCCAGCTCGGCGGAAAAATCAATCGTCAGCCAAGTCGGGAGAAGTCGAGGCGGCAGAAACGTCGACAGGCCTGCAAGGCCTCCGCTGAGAATTCGGGATGTATGGATCGGAATCCGAAGCCGAGTCCGATCGGCATCGGAGTCGCTCGAGATCGAATCGAACCGAATGTTAGGTCGGACATGGCCTCCTGCAAGCGGGTTTTGGAAGACATCTTACAAACCACAGGCAAAACATATATGCAACAAAAACAGAAGAAATCTTCCGCGGACTATTTATGTCGACTACTTTTGAATATTCCTCCTGCAGAGGGACGTGCCCGACTTAAACCGAATCGGAAGAGTCTCTGCTTAAGTCGGGCCTGTCTCCCTACAGGCCGATCTTAGACGACAAATTGAAAATACCCAAACAATGCTTCAACAATGCTCAAAAAATTGTAAGAAAAAAGTCCCCAGGCTATTTGTTGACCATTTTTGAGAATTCCCCCTGGACAGGGACAGGCCCGACTTACGTCTCTGCCCTCCCCCGCGGCCGTGCGGCGCCGAAGGCGCCGCCCAGCGCCGAGGCGGCCCGGTCCTCACGCCCCAGCCGCGCGACGCCGACCACCTCGACCTCGTCGGCCAGGATGCCCTCCTTCCGCTTGGCCTCGCTCCTCCTTGCTCCTACTCGCTCCTCCTCCTCGCTTCTCCTCCTCGCGTTCTCCTCCTCCTCCTCCTCCTCCTCCTGCACCTCCTCCTCCTCCACCGCTTGGCCTCGGTTGTCGACGTCGTTGGGTGAGCCGCCATGGCAGCCTCTGCGGACCTCCGCGGTCCTATCATACAACATCATGTCGACTTGAAGTCTTCAGAGTTCGAAAACCCCTCGTCACCCTTTGGTCCAGATTCCGTCCAGATGTCGTCCAAGTGTCGACCAGGTCTGGACGAAATCCCCGAAACCGCAAAGCGTGGTGGGGCCCTCCGATGCTCCCGTGAAGGGCCACACAACCGTCGCCGTCTGGCGCGCCACCGCCGCCATCCGGAGGGACAGAGGCGCGAGGAGGGCGGGCGGGGGGGAGGGGGAGGGGGAGGGGGAGGGGGAGGGGGGAGGGGGAGGAGGAGGAGGAGGAGGAGGAGGAGGAGGAGGAGGAGGAGAGGAGGAGAGGAGGAGGAGGAGGAGGAGGAGGAGGAGGAGGAGGAGGAGGAGGAGGAGGAGGAGGAGGAGGAGGGAGGAGGAGGAGGAGGAGGAGGAGGAGGAGGAGGAGGAGGAGGGAGGAGGGAGGAGGAGGAGGAGGGGAGGAGGAGGAGGAGGAGGGGAAGGGGGAGGAGGAGCGAGGAGGGCCCGAGGCGCGAGGAGGCGGCGCCGGTTTTTCCCCAGCCCTTCTGTGGCGTTGGGTCCTCGCTCTGGAAGAGCCAGCGCCCCGCGTCCCTCGCTCCCCCCCGCCCGCGTTTTTTGGCACACCCCTCGCGCGCCTGGTGGCCCCACTTAGGGCGCTCCACCGACGGCCCGCACGCACAGCGCGCGCGTGCGCCCACTGCAGACATGCTGGCACGCCCCTCGCACGCTCCGTGGCCCCGGAGGGAGCGCCGCCGAAGGCCCACATGCCAACGCTCGCATGCGCCGTGCGCCTACCGCACCCATTTTGGCACGCTCCTCACACGCTTCGTGGCTTCATAGGGAGCTCCCCCGAAGATCCCAGTGGCCAGCGCTCGCATGCGCCCACCGCACCGATTTTGGCATACCTCTCATACGTCTTGTGGCCCCATACGTAGGTAGCTCAACCGAAGGCCCAAATGCCAGCGCTTGCGTGCGCCCACCGCACCCCTGTTGGCACACCCCTCACACGCTTCGTGGCCCCATGGGGAGCTCCACCGAATGCGGTGCATACAACGACGGAGCCCACAACTGCAGATGGTTGGATCCTTGGCCAAGCTAATTCATCGAGCTTCGCCTCGTGGGGGGCTCAATCAACCCCATGCGGGGCCCCCGGAAGTCCCGACCCTCCGGGGCCGGCTGTTCAGCCTGAGCCGTGTCTTCAGGGTCCTGCGGTCCGGCGAGGGCCCCAGGCCCGGCTCTGCCTTATTTGTTTTGTCGATGCGCTGCGTCGGCGTCGTCGTCGTCGTAGTCGTCGTCGTCGTCGTCGTCGTCACCGGCGCCGGCGGCATCGTCGTCGTCGTCGTCGTCGACGGCGGCGCCGGCGGTGTCGCCGACAGGCCGGTGGCAGAGGGCGGGCGGAGGCGCCTCGGCCTCGAGGAGCTGCTCAAGGCCCTGCTTCACGGTCATGAACCTCTGCGGCGCGCGGCCGGCGGGTGGCGGCGGCCGCGCGCGGCCGCCGCTCACAGAGCGGCGCTGGGCGGGCACGGGCAGTAGGCCAACACGGCCTCGACAGACGCTGGTGCGCAGCCCCACGAGGTCTAGGAACACCGTTTTTATCATGAATGAGAGCAGCGTGTTCCGTCTTCGGATGCCTCTGGCCATTACCCAACAGTCAGTCAGTCTGTTGAGGCCTCCTGCTGGCGGCGAGCGCGGAGGGGAAACGAGGAGGAGAAGGCCTTCTCAGAAGGCGGCGGGACTTCTCGGAAGCCCTCGCGATGGTGTCGTCGCGGGAGGCTTAGTAAACTTCTTAGAAGGCTTGGGGACTGCCGCGCCCTCTGAGAATGCCCGCCCCTTTTCATTTCCCCCCCTCGCTCGCCGCCGATCCTGGATTGGGTCGGAAGGCAGGCGAGCATAGCATCAAGAAGAACATCACTGAAGAATTCTGGGCCAGCTTCCTAGAGGTGTCTTGAGGCAAGCTGGGGCCAACTTCTGTCCCTAACGCTGGAGGGGGCAAACGTGCTCAAGGAACTGGGCCAGCTCTCGATCAAGTGTGTCGAGGAATGCTGGCCAACTTTTCGGGAGGAGGTTTTTTAATCATATGCTCGACTGGGGGTCCAGGGATCGCGGCGCAGCGCCGATGCTTCCGCGATGCATGATCGATGCATTGGCGATGAGCCGGCGATGCATTGGCGCCGTCGGCGTGGAGAAAATCGGGTGGGTTCCACATCGAGCTGCATCGCCGATGCATCGTCGATGCGTCGCGATCCTACGACCCCCTCTACTCGGACCCCGCTTGGGATGCCTGGAGTTCTGTGAGGGAAGCCCCAGACGTGCACGCGTTGCGGGCAAGTCGCAACGGGAAGGTCTTTGGTATTTTCGTCCTCCAAGAGCCCTCGCCAGGCCCCCGGGACCGTAAAACAAACTGGCCCGCTTGAGGAACCAGCCCTGGGGACTGGCACTTCCGGGGACCACGTACTTACAAAATCAAGATGTCGGATGCTTGGGAACGCGTCCTGGGCCCCAAGGCTGTCTGCCAGGACTAGCTCTTCATCGCTGTCCATCGTCGCGTCGCTAGCGCACGAGGGCTGTCTGAACTATCGCGGGCGGCGGGGCGTCTTCACACCTCGTAGCAGGCGTCTGAACGCCTGTTCGAAACTGCGGAGGTTGGCGCCAGGGGGGCTGCCTTCTGAGAAGGCCGGCGGCTTCTTAAAAACCCGCCCAGCTTCTGAGAAGCCTTCAAGGCCCTTCTAAGAAGGCCCCTGCCTTCCAATAAGCCCCGCCGCCTTCTTCGAAGCCTCCCCCCTACCCTACGCGCCAACCCCTCATGGGCGCCGCCAACAAGGCCTTCCCTCAGGAACAGCTCGACGTACGTTGACGTAGACAAATCGACTTCTAAACGATCCAGTGAGGAACAAGAAATCATGTAGAGTCATCCAAGGCACCCGAGGCTGGCTGAAGAGAAGACCAGCAAAAAACGTTCCACACCCGCGATGCGTTTAGAATATCCTTGCTTCCGTCCCAACGGCTCCCCCCTGGAACGCCCAGGGATATTCATCAGCACGAGACGTGATTGATCACCCGGAGGCCACGCAGCGAGGAGGGGGAGGGGGAGGAGGCAGGGACACAGAGGAGCAGCACCCAGGAGAAGCCGCGGAGGACCCGAGGCACGCGCGCGTCGAACGGCGAGCGCGGGCCCATGTGGCCCCCCCCCCCCGCCGACTTGCGCACCCCAGGGCGGCGGCCAGGCCTGGGGCCTTCGCACCGCCGCGCTTGCTCCGGAGACTGGGCACCGCCGCGCCGACCCGAGGAGTCGAGGAGGAGTCGGGGGAACCGAGCAACACAGCAGGGCCCCGACCACAAGAAGCCTTCCACAAGGAAAGCCCAGCCCTGAGACCACGTCCGTTGATTTTTGGTGTGGGAGCGTCACGCTCTCCATCGCAAAACCATTGAAACCGAAGAAACCCAGGGCACCCTGGAGGCAAGCAGGGTATTTCTTAGCATGGGTCTCCACTGCATCAATACCGTCGCTCCCGGGAACTCTCCTGGGGTGCGCACCAACGACGGTTTCGGAGCGAATCCAGACGTGGCGACGAGGAATTTCCCATGAACCCCCCAAAAACGAAGAACGAGGGATCAGGGGTACCAAAACCGTGCGGTGACGGACCACGGGGTGACCTCGAAATCCCTGAGGATCTGACCTCCGTCACCGCACGGTCTTGGGACCTCCGATGCCCCGGTGGCCCGAGCCGTTCTTGGAGACCGCGCCGCGTACCAAAACCCCGCGGTGACCTCGAATCCCCACTGACTCATCACGTGGTGTGGTCAGCACACTGTTTGGGGTCCCCCGAAAGACACAGGGGAGTCGAGCGCCTTCTGGAGAGACCAACGGCCACGGGCCCGGGCGCCAGAGGAGCGACGCGAGCGACGGGAACGACAAGAGCAAATCAAAGAACTCTGGAACCCAGTGGCTCTCAGTAGCTATGGGGTTCAAGCAGTTTCGATCTAAGTGCTGCAGGAGCAAACCTCCAGCATACAACAGCCCAGATGGCGGGGAACACGCACGAGCCTGGATGCGGCCCCCGGGGTTGAAAGATCCCGTGGGCGACTCATGGCACCACCCCTTCCCACGGCAGGGCCCCCAGGACACCAGACAGGCCCCCATCCAGCCCGTTCCTCTCGCCTTCCGACCCGCGGGTTTCGCACGACCCTGAGCTACAAACACAGACTGGGCATCACGGGCACTCCCTTTCTCAAAGCGGAGATATGCGACGTGGCAGGCCCCCGCCCCCGCGGACCCCGAGGCAGGAGGGGAGGGTGCCCCGCGACGCCGTCGCTCAAGAGATCGCTGGCTACCACAAAGGCGGGAGGGGGAGGGGCGAGCGCCAACGGTTGTTGCAGACGATGTCTGCTACAAGAAGAGGAGGAGGAGGAGGAGGAGGAGGAGGAGGAGGAGGAGGAGGAGGAGGAGGAGGAGGAGGAGGAGGAGGAGAAAGAGGACATCCAGGGGCCTCGAGGCGACCGAGGGCCGAGGGCCGAGGACCCCGAGATGAGCGCCCGCGGGATCGCGAAGTTGCCGCGGGCTCGCCCCCGAGGCGGCCGATCGCAGAGGGTCGCGCCACCGCGGTGGACCCCACGGGGGCAGGCGCCCCGCGGGGGAGGGAGGCGGCACCACCCGCAGAGGCAGAGCCCGCGGCACACCGCGGAGGGGCCTCGACGCGCGCCGCCTCCGCGCCCTCGCCGGGCGGAGGGGCGCCGCCGCCCTCGGCGGCCGGACGGCCCAGGCCAGGTTTGTGTCGGGCCTGTCCCCCTACAAGGAGGGATGTTCGACGAAACATGAAAAAAATAACGCCAACATGCCCTCCAAATACCCCCCCACAATACCCCCCAAATGCCCCCGAAAATTGCAAAAATATAACAAAAAATCGCCCCCATGCTATTTTTGGGCTATGTTTTGAATAGTTTGGGGGCATTTTCATTTTTCGTCGAGAATGCCCCTGTAGGGGACAGGCCCGACTTAAGACCAGATGTCACCGGCTCTGACGACAGAGTGGAATTCGTAGCAACACGGGCACCACGAATTTGAAACTCCTGATCTCTATGAGACTCCCCAGGCGCACATGCACCACTAGAAACAACAACCCCGTCACGCACGCCACTCTCATGCACAGAATCCGTAACCGCTGGTCTGAAGTAGAATGCACCGCGGTATCGGTCTCAACTGGAGGGTCATCCGCAGGTGGATGAAATCTTGCCGCCGGTAATGAGTAGTGAGCTTTAGCGCCGATTGAATTCGATGCGACATTACTAGCCACGGGCACCGAAACATCATTTTAGGAAGCAACTGCTGAGAGGTCTTCGTCGGAAAGACTAAGGAGGATTAAGCCCCATTGCGGGGCTGTTACGCCAAAGTGGGCTTCGGATTAAGCGGGATTAAGCGGGATGAAGCGGGAGTAAGCGGGACTAAGAGGGATCAAGCCGGATTAAGCCGGATTAAGCCGGACTTCGGACCAGGGCAAAATCAGAAATTGACCTCTCAGGAGTTGCATCCGAAATCATTCATGTACCCCCCAGCCTGTCCAGCAACTTCTGGGCGTCCCGCTCCACGGCCCCTTGCCGGAGCTGCTCGGTACCTGCGGATCCCAGGAACTGACGCAAGACATTTCACCAGCGGCGCCTTCCAAGTGGTGCTAGGCGTGGTCGACGGCGAAGGAGGGACGCACGAGGTTCGGTTTCGTTTCCTGCTTGCGCGTCGGGCGGGACCTACGGGCTCGGACGCTGGACGCCACGGTGTCGATGTTGTTCTTCATCATGAAGTCTTCCCCATACGCGGTGAGAATTTGGGCGACTTCTGGAAAGGCGCCTTGCTGATTGCCGACGGAACGGATGAGCGCGACCCACACCTGCGCGGAAGGTGGGCCCATCGAGGTGTTGTCGCTCGCGGCCTTGCGACGCCTGGCCTCTTGGTGGCAGGTCGCGCCCGCCTGCTTGATGGCTTGCACCGCGGCGTGGTCGGTGTCCACCAAGAAGGCGATAAACGCCGCGTAGTTGAGTTCTCGAAGATCGGCCGCGCTGCCAACGGCCAGCCGCGCCAAGATGGCCACGAAGGCTTTCAGAGCACCACCTCCGCCCTTGCATCCCGCCATCGCCTGGGACACGAGCTCCTCCGTGCGCCCACTCCTAGAACGAGGTTCTTTCTCCCTCGCCTGCGCCCGCGGCCGTGGGGGCTCACATCCACGCCGGTGTGGCCCCCATCTTCTGGAGGAGGAGGCTGGGGATCCTGGTGATACCGTAGGTGCTCTGAAGTTCGGACAAAGCGAAAACAGGGCTAGGATCGGGATAAATCGCTCCAGAGCGTTCCGGAGCGCTCTCAGAGCGTTCCGGAACGCTCTGGATCGGCGGCGGCGCCCAATACATCCTCCAAACCCGCCGATTCTCAGAGATTTCGAGTTATCCCGATCCGATTTTGTCCCGATCTTCGCGTCGTTTTAAAAACTCCTGCCTAGAAAGAGCGCAGAGGACGCCCCAGCGATCACGGGACACGAGCCTCATCAACCACATTTCGGGCGCTGTCGTGATCACGCCGGCTTCGAACCATATACACTTAGGTAAATGTCGTCGTGCATGTTCAAGATAGGCAGATGTACACAAGCAGGCACATCACC